CTATGCTAGGTCTGGCTAAAAACCCTTTTTTTTTTTTTGGTGACGGAGTTTCGCTCTTGTCACCCAGGCTGGAGTGCAATGGCGCGATCTCGGCTCACCGCAGCCTCCGCCTCCTGGGTTCAGGCAATTCTCCTGCCTCAGCCTCCTGAGTAGCTGGGATTACAGGCACGCGCCACCATGCCCAGCTAATGTTTTGTATTTTTTTAGTGGAGATGGGGTTTCACCATGTTGACCAGGATGGTCTAGATCTCTTGACCTCGTGATCCACCCGCCTCGGCCTCCCAAAGTGCTGGGATTACAGGCGTGAGCCACAAATCTTGAACTAAAAAGAAAATTCTACCAAACTCATACAGCCAAGAAAATGCAATCTCCTTATTTAATATATCTGATATCTTGGCCTAGGATAAACTTTTCTGCTTTCAAATCATGATCTGCTCCTAGGCACCTCTTCTCCATACTGATTCTTTATGAATCTAGTCCGTTCAAATCTCTCTCTGTCTCTCCTTCCTCTCTCTCACACATACACACACACACACACAAACACACACACACGTACGTGCATGTAATTGATTAGGTAAATTTATTTGTATCATGTGAACCAATACGAAAATATTTGATTTTGCTAACTACAGGAACTTGAATCCCAACAAAAGCATCTATACCAATGTTCTATATGCAGCTGGTGGTCAATCATCACTGACAGGTAGGAGGTTCTATAAAACCACTTAGCCCATTCCATGGTCAGTTACCACGAGAACAAGAATATTTTTAGCATCATGTTTGAATCCTACCTGACAAATTAGAAACTGCAATAATTCGAACCTTCACAGGCAATTAAAATGCTTTTTATTGCTGCCTCAACAGAAATCTTATGTAATAGTTATTGATATTCTGTGAATAATCACTAAGAAGGAAAGCACGGGGCACTCATTCCCTTCCTTCATCTCTTTGCTATTCTCAGTTTTTTTTTTTTTTTTTTTTTTTTTTTTTTTTTTTTTGTCTTTATTTTTTTTAATTAGGAAGAGTTAATATAGGCAAAGACAAGTTGTCAGAGGTATGTTCAGTAAAGAACCAAATTGCACAGCAAGATCTCCTGCTAGTGACAAAAACAGCTTCACAAAGGCATGTAATTTCGTTTGCCTAACCATTTACTTCTTGGGACAAGCTCGTGGATGCCCACATCCCATCCCCATACTATTGGTGAGTCTTGTTTTCAGTGACAGTTAGTTGGAAGCCATCTTCCATCTTGGGCAGGCAGCTCTTTCACCACTAGGATCTCATGTTGGGGTCCTGCACAGAGACCTAATTCTTATAGGATTCAATGATAATTCAAATTACAGACAAAGAAAATAATATCTCTAACATGTGTCCTCTTCTATCAATATTTTTCAAAACAAATTTGGATTCTATAGGTGTTTTTAAAACTAGTTAATTAGGGGATGAAGAATTCACACATGGAGGGTAAAACCATGATGGGCATGAAGATAATAATGATGATTATTGCTATTTTATAGCTAATATTTCCTAAACAATTATTTTTACTAGGCCATATGACAAATACTGAAAATATATTATTTGCTTTAATCTTCACAATAACTGTGAGAGGTTGGAATTTGTGCCCCATTTTACATATGAGAAAACTGAGGCTTAGAGAGGTTAAATAACTCTTCCAAGTTCACACAACTGACAAGACTCAAGGCTGAGATTCCAGCCCAGGCCTGTCAGAAACCAAAGCCCACTGACATTATAAATCATACATTTTATTATAACAAATTCTTTTTTGTAACCTATTTTTTTTTTTTTCCTAAAAAGAAAAAGCTTTAATGGACTTACAGTTCCATGTGGCTGAGGAGGCCTCACAATCATGGTGGAAGGCAAGGAGGAGCAAGTCATGTCTTACGTGGGTGGCAGCAAGCAAAGAGAGAGCGCTCATGCAGAGAAATTCCCATTTCTAAAACCATCAGATCTCATGAGACTTATTCACTTTCAGGAGAACAGCACGGGAAAGAACCACCCCCATGATTCAATTACCTCCCACTGGGTTCCTCCCATAAAACATGGTAATTGTGGGAGTTACAATTAAAGATGAGACCTATTTTTAATTGCAATTTATCCAAAATTAGATTTAAGCTTGATTTTATTATCAGTGGTCTACCACAGTAAGTCTATACGTTTCCATAATAAACAATTATGTTCCCTGTTTAAAAAGTGGGAAAAGGACATAAATGGCCAAATGAATAAATGAAGCAGATTAAATTTCAGATGTTCAAAACTAAAGGAAATTCCATTCAATTCAAGAACCAGTGACCAAGAGATGTGGTGTACAAGGCACTGTAAGAACTCAGAAGATAGTATCACCTCTGCCCCCAGGAAGTTAATGATCTAATGGGAAAAATACAGTATAATGTTTCAGGTCTTACTTCAAATGTCACCTCTTTAGAGAAGTCTTCCGTCTTCTTTGACCATACTATCTAAGCTGTGACCCCATTCCCTGTCACTCTCTGTTACAGGGACCAGCAAACCTTTTATGTAAAGGGCGAGATAATAATTAATTTGGGCTTTGTAGGGCATACAGTCTCTGTCAAAATTACCCAACTCTGCTTTTACAGTGTGAAGGCAACTATAGATCATACGTAAATGAATGAACAAAGCTGTGTCCAATAAAACTTTATTTATAAAACAGGGAGTTGCCAGATATAGCTCACAGGCTATGGTTTGCTGACCCTAACATATCACTCTGTTTTCTTCCTTCATAGCACTTAACAAAACCTAAAATTATCTTGTTTATTGATTTGTTTACTGTCTATTTCCTGCCACAAAAATAGTAGCTCTAGGAGAGTGGAATCTTTGTTGCTGGTTCACAGCCAGCTCCTCAGTGCACAGGACAGAGTTTCCAACACAGAAGTTCATTCTAAACATCTGTCAATTCACTAAATGAATAAATACCATTTTGCAAAAGGAGAAACACAATCACCAACCAACACAAGAATGATATTTGGCCTTATTAATAATAAAAACACAATAATGACATACTATTTTTCACTTGACAGGCTTTCAACCATTAGAAGAGGAGGAGGGAGAGGAGGAGGAAGAAAACTAGTGTAGATGGGCTGGGCACAGTGGCTCACACCTGTAATCCCAGCACTTTGGGAGGCTGAGCTGGGTGAATCACTTGAGGTCAGAAGTTCTAGACCAGCCTGGCCAACATGGTAAAACCCTGTCTCTACTTAAAAAAAAAAAAAAAAAGTTAGGTGTGGTGGCGCCTGCCTATAGTCCCAGCTACTCGGGAGGCCGACGCAGGAGAATAACTTGAACTTGGCAGGTAGAGGTTGCAGTGAGCCAAGATCACGCCACGGCACTCCAGCCTGAGTGACAGAGCAAGACATCTCAAGAGAAAAAAAAAATCGAAACAGAAAACTAGTAGAGATGAATATGTGGGTAAATGGTCCTCTCATCTACTATTGATAGAAATGTTAGTGCAACATTTCTGGAGGTCCATTTGCCGTAATATTTCAAAATGTATATATCAATTTTAAATGGGCAAAGAATTGAAGATTTATTTATCTAAAGAAGACACACAAATGGTCAAGCCCATGAAAAGACGCTCAACATCATTAGTCATTAAGGAAAATCAAAATCACAATAAGATACCACTTCACACCCTCTAGGATGTCCACTATTAAACTAACAACAAAAAAAAGCAGAAAATAAAAAGTGTTGGAGAGAATGTGGAGAAATTGGAGCTTTATGCATTGTTGGTAGTAGTATAAAATTGTACAGCTGCTCAGGAAAGCTATTTGGAAGTGCTCTGAAAGGTTAAACAGAATTACCATATGATCCAGCAATTGCACTCCTAGGTACATGCGCTAAAGATTTGAAATCAAGGCTTCAGATTTGTACACTAATGTTCATAGCAACATTACTTACGATATTCAAAAGGTGGAAACAACCCAAATATCCTTTAACAGGCAAATCCATGAAGAAAAGTGGTATATACATATAATGGAATATTATTCAATCTTAAGAAGGAATAAAATACTAATACATGTTACAACACAGGTAACTTTGAAAACATTATGCTAAATGAAGTAAGCCAGACACAAAAGGACAAATATTGTATGATTCTAATATGAGGTATCTAGAATAGATAAATTCGTAGAGACAGAAAATAGAAAAGAGGTTACCAGGAGCTAGGGTGGTGGGAGAGGAGGAATTGAGGAGTTACTGTTTAATGGATATAAAGTTTTTATTTGGAATGATGAAAAAGTTCTGGATGGTGCTAGATAGTGGTGATGGTTGTACAACTTGTGAATATACTTAAGGGCACTGAACTGTACACTTAAAATGGTTAAAACTATAAATTTTATATTATATATATTTTATAATAAAAATGTATATATACTTTCTTACTCCAAATCCAATCCCTAAGAATTAACTTTGAAGAGGTAGCACAGAAGAGTGAAATACGTGTATACTAGGATCAATCAACCACAGGACCTATCAAGAAAGATCTAGCTATGTAAATGGCACCTGATACAACAAATACATAACAGAAACCATTATGCAGGTATTACATATGACAAAGTAGACTTTTCCTGTTAAAAATTATCCATGAAATTATTATTCAATTAAAAAAGTAAGTGATGAATGCATGTAAAGTATGAGACCATTGATATAAAAATTCTAAAGTTTATCTGTACATAGGGAAAATTCTAGATATACTCTAAATGTTAATAGGGGTTATTTTATGATTGTAGATTTGAGGTGACTTAAAAAATATCCTCTTTATAGTTCTTTGTATTAGTTGAATGTTTTTTGAACACAGAATATTTTAACCAAAATAACATGCTATTGTAAACTCATGTTTGTCACTTTTTCACATTAATAAGGAAGGTTAGGCCCTTCGTACTTACAATCAGATGGTTTCTGTATTTCCATTTCCATAGCAATAATAATATTTGTGAGTGGATTAGATACAATTTAAAAGAGGAAGTACATACCTCAGATAGCGGTGTTGACTCTTTATCATTCAAAAACAGAGATGCTATTTCAGAACAACACTCAATAATCATGTCCTAGAAATAAGAAGATAGTAATATATTGAGGTTGACATTATTAGAAACCTAAATATTCGCTATTTAATTATAAACTATTTCATATGTCTTTTCTTAATCATCACCTAACATTTGTTCCCAGGAAAAGACAGGGCTCAGAAGTCATAATCCCTTCAGTAATTAGGCTCTTTTGAATTGTATCTAATTGTACAAAATAAAATTTTGAAAATAATTATTTTACTAAATAAGGCTTTGAAAAATTACTTTTCTTCTGAGAAGAGAGCCCTGGAATAAAGCGTTTCAGAACCCTGAAAGGGGCTGCAGCAGAGAAGAATGACTGGGAATTATGGAAGACAGGGGACGAGTGAGTGAAAAGGAAGGGAGAGACTCAGCAGCATGATGACACTGCCCTCAGCCCTACTGTAATGGACGCAGCCATGTTCATGTGTGGACACCCAATCCACAAGGGACCTACCCGTAGACAGGCTGAATCTGTTAGATTCCCTAGCATATGTTTTCATGTAGAAAAGAACAACAGAGGAGACCTACAAGTCAGTATCAACTGCATGAGTTGAAAGGTCCAGATGCGGAGTTGGAGAAGGCAGCCGTTAGACCAGATGGGGAGAAGCTAGAGGAGATGGAGAAGAGTGAGAACTCAAGCCCCTTACAGGACTGAGCACAGTCTTGGCTCCTGATCTGTCAGTTTAAATTTCTGTGAGGCCACCATTTCGGGTTCCAGTCTTTGTCTATACATGACCATACTCATCTCATCCTGACAAATACCACCTCCCTACCAAACCTAATTTACTTGAGTTAGTGTAAGTAGTTCTTTCCTCACTTACAACTGAAGAAGTCATGACTACATAATTGTCCGAGATTAACTTTGCCTACTTCACAATGCTGCCAGTGTCTGGCCCTGAAAGAAAAAAAAATTTGCTTTTTTGGTAGTATTAATATATATGCATTTACCAGCATTTAGAATAGTAAAATGATAAAAGTATATTAATTTTTAAATAACTGAGCAATGCTGGTTAAAACCTTGAAATAAAAAAGCAAACAACTGAACTCAAAGCCCCAAAACTCCATTATATCTAAGTTTAAACAAATGCAAAACAAGGAAAAGACCAAATTTCAGGGTTCCAAAACCATAGATAATTCAATTCAATTTAACAGATATATTCAAGACATTATATTAGGTGCTGTGGAACACAGACTCTCTCCTCCCAATATTTCCAATTACAATCAGAAAAATAGATTCATAGACAACTAAATAAAATCCCAAGCAGAATGTGCTCAGAGCACAGGTAGTTATGACATGTTCTAGGATCCTAGATGTGGAAGAGAATAATTTTTAGTACTATAAACATGGAAGACTTCCTGGAGGAAGGGTCGTAGGAACTAAGCCTTGAAAAAATAGTACAATTTCAACTGGTAGAGACTGGGGACTAGGGCACTGTGGGGTGGGTGGGGTTGGGGGAGCCATACATAAGCAATAAGCAGGGGGCATTCAAGGAACACAGGAATTTGATGATATGGTGAAATCATCTTCACTGCAGGTATGTATAGGAAGCATGGCAGTGAGAGTTCTCACAGGAGAGATAAATTTTTAACAGGTCATGTAAAAGTAAGGAATTTGGATTTTATTGTATAGAGAATAGAGCAGGACTGGGCTGAGGGAACAGTGGTAGAAATTGCTTTGAAAAGATAATTTGTCCACAGTTTAAAAGTGAACTGCACTGGAAAGAGACAGAGAAATCAGCTAGGATGCTACTCAAACAGTTTGGGTAGGAAGTGATGATTGCTAGAAGTGGGCCAGCTTCTATGGATTTAAAAATGATGGAGGACAGGCAGGCTACCCAGTCCTAGTCAGGGTACACCAGCATCCTGCGCTGATCTTGCCAGGCCCCTGGTCCACTTTGCCAGATAAAGGGGAATACACATCCACTCCTATATACCCCTTATTTATCTGTATTTCCAACTGAGTGCTTAGGACTGGTTAAGGTATGCTTTCTGTCTAAGTAAAAGATTTCAACAGCATCATGGGTTATTGTAAGGATTTCATCAAGAGCCATCAAACTAAATGACACTGCCTATGTCATGAATCATCTCACATCACAGACGAAGGGAGCAATGCTGCCTAAAAAACGCCTTTCCCTGCTTCAGCTCAACATGTTTTCAAACAGAAATTTTGCTTCAATGACATCCTTTTACTCTGACATTACTTGAGGTAAACCACATACAGATGTTCTGAAATTGGCTGACTTGAGGTTGTGGCTGTGAGTTCCCTGCGTGACCTTGTTACCACCGAGATGAAGAAGGGGAAGGCACAGAGCTCGCCAGTCCCAGCCAGAAAGCAGTTGGATGCAAGTGCTGCAGCTGCTGAGGGGCTGGGAGGGCACGGAATGACCCTTGCTCAATCATTGCCATTTCTCTGTTAAAAAGAACATCTGCTATTTCTATGAGCCATGGCCCTCTCAGTGACTTCAAGATATTATAGCCAATTCTTAGATTTAGTTGAAATCCTTATTCTTCTTCATCTATAATATGGAGTAGGGTGGCAGGGGGAACTTCCTAAGTTGCTTTCCAGCCTCCAAACTCTTGTTTCCCTCATTTCTCCTTCACATGCCACCATCACTATTTTAGCAAATCACAGGGTGAATCATGACCTGCCCTTCCAGGTAAGGTGCTGCCCCCAGATCCAGTGCTGCTTTCCCACTGCCCTCTCTTACAGAACAAAATCCTTTCACCATTTATGCATTCAACATCAATCAAATGCCTCCTTTAGGCCACAAAGCAGGAGTAGGGGATGAATGAAACACAGAGAGCCCAGAAGGAGCTCATGGTCTATTGGGGCAATTGGAGAACCAGACTCCTACAGCACTTGGTGGTGAGATCAGAGCAGAAGAAGCACATAATTCCACCCAGCCTTCCGGCGCCATCTCCCACTACATTTACCCTGCATTTCTGCCACAACAGATGTCCTACTGTTCCCTGAATATGAGACTTAGTTCCATGACTTCATATCTCCTCTCTTGCTATATCTGCAGTCTGGAATGAGTTTTCTCCACAGGTCTCCAACTAGAAGTTTCACAAACAACTATTAGGGAGGCACTAAGGTTCAGTTACTGGGCTAGATATTGAAGATATAGTGATGAATAAGCCCTCTGAGCAAAGGAGTTTGCAGTTGAGAGAGAAAGAGACAGGTTATCAGCTAATTACCTAAACAATACAGGATACTTGGGGATGTACGGAAACATGGCCTTTCTGTCAGTCCAGAAGTGCTAAAAAATTCTGTCTGAGCTATTTAAGCAAGTTCAAAGTCTAGCTCAGCTTTCTCTCTCAGCACATACGTACAAAGACACACACACACACACAATCTATGTAAATGAGACTTTAAATACAATCAGAAGAGTTCGCATCAATAACCCCACTGCTGAGAAGGAAGATTCTACAATTCTACCCTTCTAAATAGTGCAGAATGCAGATAATGGAGAAATAGGAAAACTGGAAGAAGTCAGAGGTACTAAGTTGAACTACATAAATTACTGAGCCAGAGTGGGAAGGAGAAAAGAAACAAAAATCTCTGTTCAGAGTTGGAGAGAAAGGTGTAGGAATTTGAGCCAAATGAGACAGATGTTAGAGAGCTGCTATGGACGCCAGAGAGCTGTGAGAGCAAGACAGCTGGGGAAAGGAGGACTTACAGAAACTTTTCCGTGTATTCTAAAGGATTCCCCCTGGAATGTTCCTATAAGAGACTGTAAAGATTTAGATTATTTTCAATGGTTTTGAACATGAGACTGATTGCCACACTTTGCTAAGACAGAGCTACTGGGTGGCTGGCTCATTAGGAGCGACAGCCACACTTTGCTAAGACAGAGCTACTGGGTGGCTGGCTCATTAGGAACAACATCTGGGTACCTATGGCCACACTCGTACATTGATTAAGCTCCTCTGTGACGGGGACTTGGTTATATTGATTTCTGTGCATTCTCACCTCCTCAGGCCTGGAAATAGTTTGCACATAATAGTTCCTGAAAAAGAATTTGTTAATTGATGCTGATTTCCAATTGTATCTTGCTCTGTGTTCTAACAGTACTTTAATATTTGGGATATACTGCCTATATGTTTATTTTAATTGTCTTACAACCCAGGCACTTCACAAATGTTTGCTGAACTAACCTTAGGTGACTTGGCAAGCATATTTTAAACTTTTCATATCAGTATGCTATCATTCCAAATAAAGTGTCTGCGTCTTAAAATCAGGATGCTTTGCATTTTTCATGTGCTTCAGAACACCTGACAGCTTCTGAACACTCCCATTTAACAGTGAATGACAGATTAAAATAACTCAGCCATTTGGAGCCAGTGTTGTTCATTTTAGAAAAAAGGACACACAAGGTTTTCAAGCCAAAAGTGATTGAAACACCTGTTCTGTAGCCCTCTCAATACATGTTAAATTAATATATGTGTTCTGAAGTTCTTGGCTTATTCTGGACCCTAGGGTTTTGGGGGTGGGGGAAGGAAATAAAGAAAGGAGTGAGAAGGAGAACAAGATTCACTACCTTCTCTCCATATCAACCAAAGACACATTTTCTGCACCCTTATATTCAATCACCCACCGACAATCTATAATGTAATAGAAATAAATATATTAGATTATGAAAGCTCTGAAATCCTGTCCAATTCCAGACCAGAATTGATCTCTTTAGAAGTGTCCTAGTTAACTTCTAATTAGCTCCAAGTGAAGGTTGTCATGACAACAAACTAGCAGATTTAGTCAATGGAAGTTATTTGATATAACCCAGAATTGAGCCTTTTTAAAAATAAAGTGCTCATTAGTATTGTGGAAAAAAGAAAAAAAATTATGTAATTTCATTTCTCAACTTTCAAACGCTGTGAGCTAATTTGCTTGCCAATTCACCTAAACAAATATTAGTGTTCCTTCCGCCTGGTGACATTCTTTATGTATAGAACTAACAGAGACAGAAAACACCTAAAATGCCCCACATTAAAGCTGAAGAAACACTTTCTAAGTTGGAGAATAAAACAAATTCAAAAACATGAAGAAGAACATCAAGAGTGAAAAGTGTTTGTTCTACTCAAGGGTTGACCCACGCACACCCACCATTCCAGTCAGAACAGGAAAGCAAGCCATAAGCCTTTCCTAAGGCAATGTAGGTCCTCAGACTCCGCCTACCTTCAAACACCGCCATGCCCTCATCCTCATTTATTTCTTATTTGTTTAGATTTAATGCCGGGTTAATTGTGATGAATTCGATATCTACATCTGCCCACCACAGGTGTTTTGGTGACTCCCAGTCCACCCAAAGAGCCCATCTCTCCATCTCAGAGCAGCATTTGAATGAAAAGATCATTTTGGAGTTGAGAGGAAAATTAGCTCCAGGAAAATCTGAGAGACGGACGTTCAGTAGTAAAGCTGAGTGGCAGAGAGTACAATCCAGAATCATTACTCTAACAGAAGCTCACTCTCCTGCCTCAGACAATCTAAGCTGAAAATGGGCTCACAGGAAAATAATAATTTTCCATATATGAACTATATAGTAGTGAATTTAGGGAGGATTTCAGCAAAGAATATTCTAGACCATGGCTCAAAAACAGCAAGATGGTAAATTTGGTCTTTGGCTTAAAAACTGTCACTGTAGCTATTCTACAAAAGGAGTAGGAAAATAGAGAGCCGAATTCTTTTTGGAAATATACATGAAAGGGCAATCATGCACTTTATAAAAGAAATCTATAGCTGTATCTATAGCTATAAAACCTCCCAAGTTTGGGATAGTTTGAGTTATCAGGTCTATTGAGGGATTTCTTATAAGCACACAGGACGTCATTAAGTATCATAATTCATGTTGCAACGTTTGAGGACACCAAAAAGGATGTGCAACCAAATTTCTAAGACATCTGCTCCGTGATATACCCAGGCACAGAGCACAGAAGACATAAATGCTGGAAAGCAGCATTTTGCAAAGGCTAGCTGTACTTGCCCAGTAGATTCTCTTACAGTTAGGCTTGCTGCTTTTATAATAATGAAAATTCCATTCATTCCTTATACTGGTGAATTCAGACTAAAAAGGCTAACAACTATCTTCTAAAAATTAGGAAAATTGCTAACCTTTACACTTTCACATAATGAAACCGTATAGATGAAGTAAACAAGAAAACAAAGCCAAACTAATAATATTCTTTCAGAATTAAAAATGTTTTGTTATTGATGACCAATTAAATATTCCTAACAGAAAATGATTTAAGTAAAAAAGATATACTAGACCAAAAATAAAGGGAAGATCCTAAAAGCGGGAGAGATGGGTGGAATTAAGTGTTTCCTCTACTCTGATCTCAGCAGAGTGAGGCAAGAGTCTGCCTCTCCTATTGCTCTCACTAGGCCATAAGCTCCTAAGGGTCCTCTCTGTGTCTTGCTCATCTCCAATTCCCACTCCATGGCAAGTAGGAGGCATTCAACAGATGTTGAATGAAGAAATGGTGAATAAACTTTGTTTTGTGGGCAAGAGTTGTGGAAAAGTGATGCTAGGGACTCAAGTAGCTGAGAATTCAACCCAAAAAGTGGTACAAGGAAAGCCCAGAAGCAGAGCTATGCAGCAGGCATGAGAGCAGTCAGTCTTCAACTGGAGCAGAAGAGTAGGAGGCTCCAGGAGGGAAAGGGGTTTGAGACGTTATTTGATAAGTATGAATACTTGAGTAAAAATCTATGGATGAACATATGAAAGTTCTGATGTAATGACTGAGAAAACATTAAGAATAAAAGACAAGGAAAGAAAAAACATTAAGAATAAAATACAAGTCAAGAAAGAAAAATAACTATAGCATATCACTTGACTCAGCTGTGAACATCATTTACAGGGTCGTAACACTGAACATTGATTTCATTAAATTTTGTGATGTAACAATATGTAGAAGAAAAGGGAAAAGAAGAAGTTGGGGAGAAGTGTAAATGAGCTAAATCCATATATATCAGACAGGAAATCAATACATATTGTCTAAAATTGATATCTCCAGAAAAAAACAATAATTTCTGGCTTTCAGCATGATTCATCATTTTGTCTGGCTTTCTGTCTTCCAAATCGGGGCAGAATTGTTGGTACAGCATATAAATTATTTGGCTAATGAACTGTTAGTGGAAGTGATATGATGGAAGTTTTATGAGCCAATGTGTGATGTGTCCCTTCTTTCCCCTCTGCCACAGTGACTGGTGATATTCCATGATGAATGTTCCACTCACCTAGATGCTGGCATGAGGAGGCATGAAGCAGGCCCCCAGTTGACTCACTCAGATTTGGAGGCTTTTCGTTACCCCATTTTTCATGACTGACACTGAATATTATTTGTAGATGTGAAAGCAAATAACAAAAGCAGGAGCTAAAAGAGTGGAAAGTGGTTGCCTTTGCAGAGCAGAATTGTGGAGTGAGGAGAGGTTGGGTAGGCAGCAGACTGCCTTTTTTCATTTTAAGCCTTTTAGATATTTTTTTTTAAACAGCTACACTAAATACAGAATATATCTCTCAAGAAATTAAGGTACAAATGGAAATTTAAGGAACACACAATTAGGGGAGAACACATATTCCCTTCCCTTCTCATTTCCATAAAGAATAAGGAATTTCCATGTCTCTCCCAAAGAACCCAGGACACTTCCAGCTTCTTTTAGATCATTTTACCCCCAAAAGAGTAGAGTGACTTATCTCATCCATGAGTTTGGGAAAAGCACCAGAGCATTCTAGGCTCAGCCCCTTCGGGGCAATCTTTATTTATACTTTTTGGATGCACTCTACCTGCAGAACGATTATTGTCTGCTCTCCATGCAGTAAGCTTGAGTGGGGGAGAAGGGAAATGGGGAAACCCTGTGGTTACATGGATGTGCCAGATGACTGCATGACTAGGTAGGCAAGTCTGGCTAATTCAGGGGTAAAATATTAATGTGCTCATTTGGCCACAGACCTAAAGCCAAATTCGCTATTCAGCTTTATCAGTAATGACGCTGACATTTCTGCTTCCATTTAACTGTCTGCTGTGCCCCAGGAGAACTCAGAACTCAGGATGGGAGAAAAAACTCCCCTCTCCTCCAAAACACAAATATCAGTCATCAGAAAAACAACTCAGCTGTCTGATCAGACTTAATAGCACACTATACAAATAGCCTTTTTTTGTTAGAAAAATATATATGCATATAAAAGGTCTGAAAAAATATGCCTACCTATATTTTCTGGTTTCTCTTCACACACTATTTGGATAATAAAAATGTTTAAATAATAGATTTAGAGTGAAAAAAGATAAAGTAATATTGCAAAGTCACAAAGCATTATCACTTGGGATTCACAGTTACAGCTGAATGATTTATCTGGATTGGTTTGTATTCATTCACCACCAAATTCTTGTAATTCATATGCTTAGAAGACCCTCAGACCTTCAGGAGGCATACAATATACAGGTCAAAAAAGTTGAGTCATGTTTTGCACTCTGAATAAATTAGAGGCAGAAGAACCACAGAGTTCAAGTCGAGTTACACAGTTCTGCTTTGAGGATATAAAAGATAATCTATAGCGACGTCATTTTCCATTATTGAACAACTTACTTCCATTTCATTATCAATTGATTCCTCTTCCACGTCTCCTATGTCATATACGTTTTCATTTGAGGTAATTTCAGGAGCTGCTGGCAATGATATTTCAGCTATTTGTACAAGATTAGATAATTTCTCATGAATTGCAATAACCCTGAAAATAACAAATATATGTGTATTTTATTTTGAAGAGTTAAGAAAAGCATTTGTTTATTTGTAGAATCAATAACTTGTATAAAGTAAACCCTCAGTTATTTGACGATTAGGCTTCTAACGTGGCCAAGCATCATTCATTCAGTCATTCCCTTCATTCAAAAAACATCAGCAAAAAGACGGAGTCTTAACTTTCATAATGTTTATGGTCTTGTTATACACTCAGATAAAAAATAATTGAAATTGCAAAATCACAATGAAGAAAGACACACATTTAAAAAATTTGCTGAAGATGAAAATAAAGAAAATAATTATCTATGTAGGGAAACAAAATCTAGGCAGGAACAAAATATTTACTTCTATGGACATCTTAACACCATGCTCTGTCTGGCTGACCTGCAGGTAAGAATTATGACATGTTAGCAATGACTCTAAAAGGCCAATCAAGGGACCCATAACAATTCAATGTATTGCATGTGTCTTGCAAACGGGGGTGGAGAGGGTGGAGGAAGGGAGGTGGTGAGAAGAATGAAGAAAAATGGAAAAATAAAAGCCAAAGGAGGACACTGGCCATGATGCTGAAGACAGGGTTCACAGGCCAGTAAACTGTTGATGTCCTGAAGGCAGAGTGGACCAGGGCGTGGAGGCAGAAGGTGGAAAGGCTTACAGTTGAAGAAGGCAAACAGCCACCTGCATGGCCTCCATGACTCCACACTACAGGCACAACACACATATGCATGTATGTGTTTAAATATGTGTGCGTATGCATGTCTCTATTCAAGGAAGGAAGAAAATTTTATGCAAAAGAAGCAAATGATCCCCCAAAGCAAACTGACATCAGGAACATAGGAAAAATGTCAATTTTCCACAGCATTCTCATCTGCAGCATTGTGCAATACTTGATTATCTGAATGACAGTTCTCAGCAATAAAAAGTTTAAAAATGTAACTACATACAAGAGGATTTGAATTTATATAGTATGTCTTAGAAAATTTTCTATTTAAAAGGCAAGAGTTAAATGCAAAGATTTAATGTTAAAAGTTTACTTGAAAAACTTTTAACATCATTAAAAGTTATCCATTAAAAAATGGGTCCTCCTACATACCAATAATTGACAAGCAGAGAGCTAAATCATGAGTGAACTTCCATTCAGGATTGCTACAAATAAAATGAAACACCTTGGAATACAACTTTCAAGGGATGTGAAGGACCTCTCCAAGGAGAACTACAAACCACAGCTCAAGGAAATAAGAGAGGACACAAACAATTGGAAAAAAATCCTATGCTCATGGGTAGGAAGAATCACTATCGTGAAAACGGTCAAACTGCCCAAAGTAATTTATAGATTCAATGCTATCCCCATCAAGCTACCATTGACTTTCTTCACAGAATTAGAAAAAACTGCTTTAAATCTCATATGGAACCAAAAATAGCCCATATAGCCAAGATAATTCAAAGCAAAAAGAACAAAGCTGGAGGCATCACGCTACCTGACTTCAAACTGTACTACAAGGCTACAGTAAGCAAACAGCATGGTACTGGTACCAAAACAGATATGTGGACCAATGGAACAGAACACAGATCCCAGAAATAACACCACACATCTACAACCATTTGATCTTCGACAAACCTGACAAAAACAAGCAATGGGGAAAGATTCCCTATTTAATAAATGGTGCTGGGAAAACTGGCTAGCCATATGCAGAAAACTGGCTAGCCATATCCTTACACCTTATACAAAAATTAACTCAAGATGGATTAAAGACTGAAATGTAAAAATCGAAAACCATAAAAACCCTAGAAAAAAACCTAGGCAATACCATTCAGGGCATAGGCATGGGCCAAGACTCCATGGCTAAAACACCAAAAGCAATTGCAATAAAAGCCAAATTTGACAAATGGGATCTAATTAAACTTAAGAGCTTCTGTACGGCAAAAGAAACTATCATCAGAGTGTACAGGCAACCTACGGAATGGGAGAAAATTTTTACAATCTATCCATCTGACAAAGATACAAGGAACTTAAACAAATTTACAAGAGAAAAACAACCCCATCAAAGAGTAGGCAAAGGATATAACATACACTTCTCAAAAGACATTTATGTAGCCAGCAAACACATGAAGAAAAGCTCATCATCACTGGTCATGAGAGAAATGCAAATCAAAAGCACAATGAGATACCATCTCATGCCAGTTAGAATGGTGATCATTAAAAAGTTAGAAAACAACAAATGCTGCAGAGGATGTGGAGAAATAAGAATGCTTTTATACTGTTGCTGGGAGTGTAAATTGGTTCAACCATTTGGAAGACACTGTGGCAATTCCTCAAGGATCTAGAACCAGAAATACCATTGACTCAGCAATCTCATTACTGGAATATACAATCCCAAAGGGTTATAAATCATTCTACTATAAAGGCATATACACATGTATGTTTATTTTAGCACTGTTCACAACAGCAAAGACTTGCAACCAACCCAAATGCCCATCAATGACAGACTGGATAAAGAAAATGTGGCACATATACACCATGGAATACTACGCAGCTATAAAAAAGAATGACTTCAGGTCCTCTGCAGGGACATGGATGAAGCTGGAAACTGGCATCCTCAGCAAACTAACACAGGGTCAGAAAACCAAACACCACACGTTCTCACTCATAGGTGAAAGTTGAACAATGAGAACACATGGACACAGAGAGGGAAACATCACACACCAGGGCCTGTTGGGGGGTTGGACAAGGGGAGGGAGAGCATTAGGAAAAATACCTAATGCATGAGGGGCTTAAAACCTAGATGACTGGTTGATCGGTGCAGCAAACCACCATGGCACATGTATACCTATGTAACAAACCTGCACTTTCTGCACATGTATCCCAGAACTTAAAGTAAAAATTTTTTTTTTTAAATAATGGGTCATCTCCAATAATGTTGGAAAAGCTGCCTGATGCATTGGAGAGAAAAGAAGATGAAGAGGTGAAACACTAAGTGAGTCATGCTTGGTTCCTTCAAACACTAGCCATGAAACCTTAGTCTACTCACTTAACCTCTCTGACCCTGGAGTTCCTTCTACTGTAAGACTGGAACAAGAAAATCCATTTCATCCAATTCATAAGGCTTTTGTAAGGATGAAATGATGTAATTATATATGTTCTTAACTACAAGGAATCACATAAAGGAAAGATGGTATTCTAAAATGCCATTCTGTAATTCTAATACCTAGAGAAAGAAGTTTTTTTGTCTTCCACAAATAGCATAGCTTTCCTTAATAATACTTGGGATTCTAGGAAGGATAAACTGTTCTTTGACATTTGGGTTGCAGCTTGTGTATGAGTGTCCAGAACTTCACTGTCTGGGCTGGCAGAGTAAATGGCCCCATCTAGCTCCCTGAAGGGCAATCTGGGACTGGGTAAAGCGGGCTGGGTCCTCATGCAAACAGCAACATCAGATGACCGGAATCTCATGGGAGGTCTGGACCCCATGACTGCACCTTCCTACATCCTGCTCCCTTCCTTTGTGCTGTGGCATGCATTTGCCCCTCACCTTCCTGTCCTCCCACATACTTCTTCATTTCTGTCCTCCAGGTGAATACCTGCTCCAGCTTTTTAAACCTTGGCACCACAAACAAGCATCTACCATCCCGTCTGGGCTCCCCAAATCCTCTGCTGTCATTTACTGACTCCTACATACTCTCTCCCATGGTTTGCCGTGGCCTGGAAGGCAGGACCCAGTTGTAAGTGGAAACATGGATGACAGGGGGTTTAAAAGCAGAGACAGTAGGCAGAGAACTTGATCTTGGCCACAACAGCAAAACTACCACTTAGAACTACACAAAACGCTTTATGTCTGTTCATTGAGAACACTAGTGTCTCCTTTCTTGCTGTAAAGAAAATGCAAAGGATTAGAATATACTTTTCCTTATGAGAACTTAACTAGGAGATGAGGAAGTGAATGATAAAAGCAGGATCTCCCAATTTGCAGGTTATCCAAGTTTCTTCTCTGGCCTATTTTTCATGACCTATTTTATTCCTACTTTGCCTTCCAAAGGATGATCAAGACCAATTTCCCATGTACTAATCTTGAGCCTCATAAGAACACCAGGAATGTCACCCAGGAGGAGAGAAACAGTTTATTTTCACAGTGCCACCAAAGGACAGGGAGATAAAAGATTGTCAGAAATGGTCCTCTGTGATGGCCTCAGTGGCTGGGGCTTGTCACTAATTTTAGTAACCCTACCATTGATCAGAAGTATGCCAAAGTTTAAAACTTTTTGGAATAAAAAAAGAAGTTCATCAGTTTGTTGGCTTTCTAATTTATAGAAATTATCACCATTTTCATCATGTGGGTCTGGAAAAAATCTATATTTCTGGATTTACAAAGCAAGTGCAGAATTACCTGATTTTGTTGCTTAGCTGTGCTGGTCTATAGCCTATAACCTAGGTTTTCAATCATTTCACTTGAAAAGGAATAAATGAAAAGGAAAAGAAGGAAGGAAACAAATTGACTGAATGAAAATATAGAGGAAAGGAGAGGAAGGAGGGGAAGGAAAGGAGAGGAGAGGATAAGAGAAGAAAAGAAAGGAAAGAAGGAATAAATAAATTGACTGAATAACTGAAAATCTGCCAGCTCTGGAAACAGCCTTTGTCTCTTTCATGATGATGCCAAGAAGTCATTCAAAATGAAAATCACAGAACATGAACAAGACTCTCCAAGGAAGGACAGAGAAACACTAATTCTCTGTTTACCAGGCCATTGATGGAACAGGCGCTAGTGGTTAAGCTTTCCAAAGCATGAAACTCCACACAAAGCCACATTAAATTATTTTTTAACCACACTGAAACTACAGGTGAACTACAGTACAGACAACATCCGTGTGCTCTCTGTAATCTCTATGAAGCATCATGAACCGTTCCTTCGGCAACCCTCGGTACTATTATTAGTATTATTCCCATTTTATTGATAATGAAACTGAAGTACAGAGGTTACATAAACTGCCCAAGACTGTGAAGGTAATAAGGGACACAACTGGTATTTGAAGGAAGCAGGCTGGATTCAGAGTTCATGCTCTTAACCACTGCAATATATTATTATTCTCAACAAAACGAAGATTCTTCTAGAAGTGTCTTTTAGCAGGCCTCCTACGCTATACCTTGTCAATTACTGAAAGAGTCTATTCTCATGAGAAATAACAACAAAGACAACTAGAGTTGTGGAATTTTTTACTTGCCTGTTCAGTGGAATCCATAAAGAGCCAGCACATACATTGTTAAATGTGGAATGTCTAACATCTGAAATCTTCAGAGGCTTCAAATTATATGCATACAACAATAAAACCTATAAGAAAAATAAAAGGGATATAAAATGTGACATCAAAATTAGAGTTTATCTAAAAAAATACAGGATTAGTTCACAAAATAATACGACTGTATTTTTAAAAATATTTGTTTAGAAGAGAAAAATTGGGATTTCAACTCACCCGGAAGAGAAATGATGTGAACCAAAATTGTACAAAGGTTGTAGGATAAAAATAAATACTATTTAGTAACAATATTATATTATTTTTGAAGAGCGACATTTTGTACCGCAATTAAGTGTATATTTCAGCCTTTGAAGGCCCTCTACAGTAAGTACTAAACATACATGCGGTAAACATCCAGCTTTGTTCCTTGTTACTTCTCAACATGAACCACTCCCATAGGTGGGCATAGTCACTTCTATGCATTCACTTACGCTGTTCCCTTCCTCTTCTCTCCATTTATCCAATCCACACGCAAGTTTCTAGCCACCACACCTAAGGTGAAACTTCCCTTGATGATTCATGCTCTAGTAATTTCCCTGTTGTTTGGATTCTGACAATTCTTAGAGTCGGTTGCATATGATATAGCACCTACTTAGTCATGGATTTGTAGTGTTTGAGATTCACAGAACCTTAGAGATAATCTGGTCTAATTCCCTCATTTTAGATATAAGAAAGCTACTGCCCAGAGCTGCCCATCAAAACTGAGTAATTAGGCGTATTGGGGCTCAGAGAACAGAGCTTCAAAGTAACAAAGGAAATTACTTTAGCCTTAGAAGCTACCTCAAAACCAAGACTTTTTTAACCCAGCACAGGTAAGGACTCTCTCAGGAGGTTCCCATACCTGCCCAAGAAAATTTCTTCCAAAAGAAGTACAATTGTCTTGAAACTCCCTTTCTAGGAATCTCATTAAATAACTGTTAAGCATGCTCTGAATGAAGAGACCACCTAAACAGGCTTTGTGTCAGCAACATGGCTGTTTATTCACTTGGGTGGTATCGGGATGAGTCTGAAAAGACAGTCAGCAGAGGATGGTGTGATAGGAGCTAGTTTTACAGGTTTGGGGTGGGTAGTGGAAAGTTACAGTTTAGGCTGGTTTTGCAAGCCAGGGGTATTGCTGGGTAGGGGTGTGTGTCATAAGGTCCAGTGTCACAAGGTTGGCTTATCAATTGAGGCAGGAACGGTTGAGGCAGGAGCAATGGCAGTATGTTGCAAGGTTGGTTAATCATGGACTGCAGGAGCCAGCTATTCTTTTGTGGTTTTCCTGTTACTTCAGACTTTCTGGCTCCTGGAGGCCATCTGGAGCTGTATGGGTTACAGGAGTCACCACGGCTTGACTATGGTGTAGTCCATGGTGCAGTCAGTTTAAAGGATCTTACAATAACCAAGAAAGATCAAGCACCAAAGAAGAAAAAAGACTAAAATTCATCACCATGATCACACAGACTTTTCGTCTAATCTCCTGAGGGCAGCTTGAATAGATTGCCTGGGAGACTCTACCTGCATAATCAGACAACCCTTACTTGCAGTGTTGTGCTACCCCTCTTCTTCCCATAACTTGCCCGCAAGCTATTATCTGTTCTTGGTCCTACTCAAACAGAATCATTTAAAAATTACTGTCTGCCTTTTGGGTCCATTCAGTTCCCCTAAAAATCATTGATGACCCCTCAAAATTGCCCATATTCCCAATTTCCCTCTCCCTGAAGATACCTAAAGAAGGGTATATAAGCTTCTGAATCTCTCTGGGTAATTGCATAATCAACCTTTTGTTATTTTCCTGTGCTTATACACATTACTAAATTTGTGTGCTTTTTCTCCTGCTAATCTATTGTCAGCATTATTCTGGTAGATGTTATACCCAAATCTTTAGAAAGTGAGGGAAAAACTCTTCACCCCTAAAGGCACATGCCTTTACCTCTGCTTCCTCACAAAGTAAACTAAGTTAAGAGTAAAGGTATTTTTCAAAGGCATTCCACAAGGACAGAAAGTACTCAAGAGGAGATGAAGCAGACAAAAGACATTAGCAACACTATGAAGGACAGAAAGCACCTGGAAGAACAAAACTGACTCAGCAGAGAGGAAAGGCTGTGTCCTAAGTGCTTTCAGAGGGATGTCAACAACAAGCATGACTAAGAACCCTGAGAAACTCAGGGCCCGGAGGGTGAGGTACCTTTAAAGGCAGGAGTGGGTGGTACTGCAAACAGGGAGTAACATTAGACAACCTCCCTCCCATCTGGGTGGGTGCAACCTGGAGACTCCTTCTTTCCCTTGCCTCCTCTCTCGGCTGAAATTCCATTTTGCTCTCTGCTGTCATTAAATCAGAGGATCTATGCTGAGGGACATTAGGTACAGGGGTCAGGTGCTTTATTAAAAACATTGGAATTAAGTGAAAGTCTGCATTCTGAATGAGAATGTAGTAAATTAGGCAGGAGTCTAAGAGAATTGTCTTTGGGGAAACTGACATGTCAAAGAGAAAAGACCTACAGATACTGAAATTTCAGCATTCTCCAGTGAAACTACTGGCTCCTTCTTCAGTTACCCTATAATGAGGCCCATAAATCAATGTCTAACGCAGTATGTTTTTTAGTGCTTTGCTTCAAACATAAATGGACAGTCAAGAATTACTAGACAGGATATGAAAGGCAAAAACTAAAACTAACAGCAGGGAACTTCCAGAATAAGAGACAAGACAAAGATCAGGAGAAAACTCCAATAAAACTATAATTAATATCCTCGGAGAAAGACAATATTGCATCTGTGAAACAAGAAGAGGGTACTATAAAATGGGACAATCAGAGAACAAGGAAGACGACTTAAAAATAAAAACATGATCAAAACAACTAAATAATCAATAAAAGATTCAAAATATAAAATTGACTCCATCTCCCCAAAAGTAAAACCTAAATTTAAAAACATAGATAATAGGGGAGAAAAGATGAGAAAAGTAAATACTTAATCCAATGGGTTCAATATCTGCATAATAGAAATTCCAAAAGGTACTAAGATAATCAGAGGGAGGAAATTATTAAATAAACAAATTTCCATGAACCGGAGGATATTACTTTCCATTTTGAAAGGGCCACCCTAAATATCCAGCATAGCAGATGAAAGACTCACACCAATGTGCATCATGGAATTTCAGTGCATACAGGACAGGGGGAAGATTCTGAGAGCTACCAGAGTCACAAGAAAAGAACAAGGAATCAGAATGGGATCAGACTTCTCAACAGCAATGCAAGATTGCCAGAGACAGTGGAATAATGCCCTCACAACTTCAGGGAAAATAACTGTCAGCCTAGAATTTTATGCCAAGAAAACAATAAATTAGGCATTAAAATAAAGACCTTTTGTTAGACATTCAAGGTTTTTTTTTTTTTTTTT